TCTTGGCGTACTTGAGCCTCGCCGTCTTGTGCGCCGTCTTGAGCAGAGGGGAATGCTTTCTCTTGACGTACTTCAGGAAACCAGCAGCGCGAAGTCTTCGTTGACAAGTTCTAATTGAGCCACCGAGCTGAAGCTCCGTGTGGAGGCTTTTAGCCGACTGCCCAGTGGATGAGGCGGCACGGTACAGCCGCCGACACTCTTGGTGCACGATTTTGGTGGCCTTGCAACCCTTAAACTTTGTGCCTTAGTTGTCAGGCTCACAAAGGAAAGCTCGGATGGTGTCCTTGGAGCGTCCAAGGTGCTTAGCAATGCACCGATATGACAATTTGTGTGCCCGAAAGGCCCTTGCAGCAGCCTGATCTTCAATTGTCAGCTGCGGCTGACTTCCCATGCTGTATGGTAAGGAAACAGTTAAAAACATAGCTTTAATGCATTGCGTACCAGCGTTTGATAGAATGTCAATGCAGTTGAGGAGTAGGGACCAAATTGTGAAGTGACCTGCAATCTACTGGCGCCTTCATGATTCTGTTTTCCACCCAAAAGAAACGTTTGCCAAAGAGTTTGTAGGCGTGAGATATCTAAGAAATCCCGCCAATCAACAATGAATACAGCAGTGTTGTTGCTTTGTGGTAAAATGATTGGCGGAATTTTTCTCCATTCAAAACACGGTGGCTGCAACCATGTGGCGAGCAGTGTAGTATGACCTGTGGATAGACGCCCGATCTTGCACGAAGACTTCGTCCAGCGCATTGTACTATCTGGATTGCCATTGTGAGATCCGTTTATGATACTTCCTCTGTGTCAAATTACTGGTGACATAAAAATTCGTGATTTTTCCGAAATACTTGTGACATTTCTCGACCATTAGATGAAAATCAAACACACGGATATAATTGGTTAAAATCCTCACTGGTTTATATATCCAAAACCTATTCAAGAAGGCGCGAAGGACATGACATGTTGGTCATCAGAGCACCGGCGCGTCGCATTGTATCCTTGTGGAGTTGAGGAAGGCGGAAACGGTTGTCGCTTTGGTGTTCGAGCACAAGCCGCATGACGGCATGCAAGGTCAGGAACACATTCTCAAGCTTTTCCACGCTCAATGCTTCAAAGGCCTCCAAGGTAGAACGAACAACATCGTCAATGGAATGGCTCACCACCTTGTATTGTAGCGCTTGAATTGAAGCAAAGAAACCCAGGTCCAGGACATTGAGGTCTGGGCTGTTGGGTGGTCGGCGCCGGAGGACAAATGTCCATCCGTCAAGAGACACAGTCGCAAGGACAGCTTCTGTGATTACACGGTGCAGCGAAGCGTTATCATGCTGCAGCACGACGCGCTTGTGAATCCAGCTAGCTCTAGGGAATGCAACCATGATCGCAGGAATAACCCTCGTAGCAACATATTCCAAATATACATCACCACTTACATTCACGAGTGTAGGCACGGTGGCACCAGCTGGACGATTGCGCGAGTTGCGGACAGCAGGCCGGAACTCAACAAAAGGCCACATGCCGATCTTTCCAGTGAATTTGGCGCCACGGGCCTCATCGAATCTTGGACGCGCCACGGCGGCCAAAAATATCACTTTGGAGGTAAACATTTTGCTTTTGACAGCGTGGCGCCCGATCGTCTGGCCCTTCACAAGGTACACCATACGTCGGTTTTTGTCGGCGTTAAACCACTTTTCGTCGAGGTGAACAATGTCCCACATGTCGTCAAACTCGAAATGCCGCTGGCCATCGTCATCGCCAATGCCGGCGGCGAGGCAAGTTCGCGAGCGCGTCGTGCGGCGCGCAACGTCGGAGGTGCGAGCGACAGAATTCGACGCGTTCGAGCATGTTCGCCACCGTAAGCAGAGGCTTGAGTCGAGACGAATGCCGTTGCAGGGTTCCTTTGCGAAAGCTGCGGTACACGGCAGACAACGACAGGCTGGTGGCCTCGGCGATATCACGCATGGTTGAGCGTTGCTCTTCGGGTACGTCGTTGATGAGGTCGGTTATCTCGTCATCCGTGTGGGTTGGTTTGCGTCCAACACGACCAGGCTTCGCTGATGGCATGTGGCTGTTTCGCAGGAATTGGTTCCACACGCGAGTCACGGTGACGCGGTGTATGTTCATGCGTCGAGCTGTAGCTAAGATGGCACCACGCACCACCTTTCCGCCAGACATGGACTGATGGAGCTGTGCGACGACCTCCAACTTCTCATCGTAAGAGTGCTCACGTGTTTTGCGCGCAGTGTTCGTGGTGTCGATTTACCCAGGTCCCGTAATTTTAAAAGTGAAATAATGATTTCGTAATTTTATTTCGAAGCTGTTTGAGCAATCCAAATATTGGGCGCCAAAACTTCGTTTCCCTCATTTGCAGTCAATAGAAACCTCCTCTACCTTGTCATTATCTTTCAAACGTGATCGATCTTATCGAATTTGGTGGAGAATTGGTTTTTCGGGTCGCTGAAATGTGAAATGTCACCAGTAATCTGAAACAGAGGAAGTACAGTATAAAATATCGAGCCGTCATGTGCAATTCGAAATTTCTGAAAAAGGTAGCGGTTTTTGCCCGAAATCATGAATTTTCGGCGTTCACTTGGTCGGAAGTACAACATCGGACCAATTTCGTCGTATCAGTTCCATTGTCGCCGTTCGGACCAGTGCGCGCCGCGATGGGGCCACGCGCGAACATGAAGAAGTCGGGGTACGAGGACATCGAGGCTGGGAAGAACAAGTTCGTGCCATTGTCGTCCCTTGCCGTGCTGCTTATTCCATGTACGTTGACCAACTCTCGGTCGATTGTTACTCGCGTGGAAGGCGGGGTGTGCTCATGGCGACATGGTAGACTTTTGGCCGCGAGGAATCGTTCTGGTACGTCTCAAGCATCGCATTGCTTGCACAACGTTCTTACGTCGACTCTTTTCCCCGTGTAGAAACTTCAAGTCGCCGTGTCACTGTCGCTCGTCGCGGCGTCGCGTAGTTTCCGTGTGTTGTCTCCGCTCTACTTGAAGGACGCCACAAACGAACTCGCGTCCACTGGAGCCGTGCCGTATCGGCCGTTGGCGCTCTATTGCGGTATAGTGTCAAGCCTTACCTACGTGACAGGATCTCATCCCGAAGCTGTCGTTGTAGGTGCACTCTTCCTGTCGACAACGGCCAAGCAAATCCAGACGTATTCGTACCTCCGGGTCAAGCAGCATGCATACATTGACGTGTCGGCCGCCGTCTTTGCCCACTTACACAAAATGTAAGTTGCAATTCTGTGCTCCTTCTCGTTTGCGTCCCGTTGGTGTGATGTCGTGGCTCTCGTCGACGATGTGCAACGCACAGCTGACGGTCCAAGCCATGGATGCCCCATTGCGTTCCATGTGTCGATGTCGTGGGTTGTGTCATGTCGGGTTGGTGCATGAAAGCATGCGCACTACAACATGTGCCGCCGGTGCCGTTTTTGGTATTCCATGGCGTTGTGTGGATCACGAGACTCTTTGTAGGTCGATGCACTTTCATCTGACCAAGAAGACGGGCAAAGTCATGCGTGTGCTCGATCGCGGCCTCGACAGCACCGACAGCGTCGTAAACGTGCTCTTTTTTCGATTTCTTCCGACGCTGTTGGAAGTGGCAGCCGTCTCGCTCGTGTTTGCATGTGCATTTCAAGACCACTGGCTCTCGGTCGTCGCGGTCACCAGCGTCGTGCTGTACACGGTCGTGACGTTCATCGGCACCACGATCCGCCTCGAGTTCAAAGCCCAAAGCAACCAGCACGACAACGACGCGAACGACAAAGCCGTCGACAGCTTCACCAACTTTGAAACAGTCAAGGCCTTTAACGCGGAAGAGTACGAGACGAACCGGTACATGGCATCGATCGAGCAATGCCAGCACACAACGTACTTGACCCGCGGGTACTTGAATGGCCTGACTGTGGCCCAACAGTTTATCCAGTCGACGTGCCTGTTTGTGTGCATGGCTATCACCGGTGTCAAAGTTACGCAAGGTACGTGTGCCACGATGTGCTGCTGCCATGCCCGATATGCCGCCATGCTGGGCTTGGTGGCGTCGAGGTGGCTTTCGAAGTGGGTGGGTGTGCGTGTTGCCATTCGACGTGTTGCATTGCGATCCCGTTGACCACGATCGGGACGTTGTGTGCCAGCTATGGACGGCTTTCCGTCATGCGCGCATTTGACGTGCCACAAGGCACACGCAGGATGCGATCGGTCCCTCGATCATAGCTCTCCTCTCCATGGTTGCCATCCCACCACTCGTTCTCATGCGCTGCGTGGACGTGTGGAACGTTGAGTGATTATCCCGCGAGGCATCGACTGTCCAACATGGCGCAGTGATCATTTCCAAGTTCCACCGCGACCATCGAATGAAATCCGAGTGCTGGAGATGTGTATTGGCGCGGTCGCTCTCTCGAGCGATTCGATCCGCGGGTGGCCATGTTTTCCGTTTGCTGTGTGCGTGTGTGCTGTGCCTTGCGTCGTGCGGCAGGACGTTCCATGACAATGGATCGTTCTTGCGGTCTTGGCGTTCGAACCACGTGTGGAGCTTCGACAGTCGTCGGTTTATGCTGTGCTTGTCGGACTCCAACACGATCGATCACGGCATGCGTCGCGTAGGGCTGCTGACGGTGGGCGACTTTGTCGCGGTCGGGTCGTACATTTTGAATATTTTCAAACCGCTCGATTCCCTCGGCGCCATTTACAACACGATCGTGCAAGCGGTGGTCGACATGTCGAATCTGGTGGAATTGGTCGAGGCCACCCCCGACATTCTCGACAAAGACGACGCCGCGGTGCGTTGTCCAGCTCGGCGCGTGGGGTCGGTGATCGTGCTCGCTGTAGGCGCTTGTGGTCGCGTCGACGCCAATGGCAGCCATGTCGCCCGGGACCCGTCGTCGCCACCAACCCACCGTCCAATTCGACCACGTCGGGTTCACGTACCCAGGGCAGCCTGCGTCGAACGGATTGAAAAACATTTGCTTTACGATTCCCCCTGGCCACACGGTTGCGATTGTTGGCACCACGGGCGCCGGGAAAAGCACGCTGAGTCGGCTCTTGTTTCGATTTTACGACGTCACGGCCGGCCGCATCCTGATCAACGGCCAAGATATCTCGTGCGTCCAGCAAAAGTCGCTCCGACAAGTGCTCGGAATCGTTCCCCAGGATGCTGTCATGTTCAACGACACGATCTACTACAACGTACGTGATGGCTGTATGCACGCGGCGAGGGCATCGGCCACGACCATCGGCCACATGCAATCGAGGCGATGGCTTGGGACTGAGCTTGTTTTGTTGTCGGAATTTGCTCAAGTTGGTGTGTTGGTTGTGCAGATTCAATACGGCCGGCAATCCGCCACGCGAGCCGACGTCGAAGCCGCCGCTGCCGCCGCGAATTTGACCGCGTTCGTCGCGACGTTGCCGCTTGGCCTCGATACAAAGGTATTGAATGCGACCGAAACACCCACGACGACGCGCGAACACGACCGTGTTGATGCATTCCTTGAGCAATGCGTCCGCTGTGCTGCTGCTGCTCAACTTCGATCCCGACCGCACCAAATCTCGGTTGACGTGGTGGTTTCGTAGGTGGGCGAACGGGGCTTGAAGTTATCTGGCGGGGAAAAGCAGCGCGTTGCCATCGCCCGCGCAATTCTCAAGAACCCACGCATCATGGTCCTCGACGAAGCCACGTCGGCCCTCGACACTCGAACTGAACGCTGCATCTACGAAGAGCTGCAGCGCATTTGCGCCGACCGCACCACGGTACACTCGACTCGCGCGTGAAACATGATCCAGACCTGACTCTATCGTGTTGCTGGAGCATGTAGATGGTAATCGCCCATCGACTGTCGACGATCCAACACGCCGATGACATCGTCGTGCTGGACCACGGGTCCATGGTCGAGCGGGGTGCGCACGACGAGTTGCTCGCTCGTAATGGAGGTACGGTGCTTGTTTGCTACGAGTGTCTAGGTTATCATTGTCGGCGAGCGGATGCACGCCATGCGGCTCTGACTCCCGTCTGTGTAGCTTACGCCGCGATGTGGGCTGCCCAACTAACGACGCGTGCGGACAACGTGCCGCCCTTGACAGCTGGATCGCCGCCCAGGATTAGCTAAGGTGCTTGGCTAACATACCTAGCTGCATGATGTCGCGCAGTCACGGGTACGGCGCCACCTTTGCTTGGTCGAGATGAAGTGTGTCCTGCGCCACGTACCTACCTACCTGTATGGTCGTTCCCCTGCAGTAAAAACCGTGAAACGATGTGCACATGGGTCGACACACGAATCGTCCTAATTTACCCACAGACCGCTCCATGCGACGCTGCTGTGGCAACGCCGCGCCGCCCGAGGACGTCCCCCGCTCGACGTGGGACGTCCACCATCTCGGACGCCTTGCGCGGCATCGTGACGTGTTCAATGTGCACATATCTGTCAGCGCAACGTGGGTTGAGGAGATCCTTAATAAAGTACATCCTCACCCACATCACCCTCCAGGATATATTTATATACCCATCGAAATTGGAGCAAGAGAGTGGTGCTTGCGTGCTGCTCTTTCAGTAGCGCCTTTCGTGTCAGTGTCACGGAAAACTGCGCGCCGCCACGTGGCAGCTCGCCAGGACGACCGCGACGATTCCCGCGCCGACGTGGGGAGGAGTACTTTATTAAGGGAATGACCTCGCGCCGAAATTCTGGGTCAGATTCGGACAAATCACGTCATGATGGCGTGACAAGATTACGGGATCGACGAGGAATTTTGTCAGGTATAGACATTTCCGGGCAACGGGCGAGGTTTACGGCTTTGGGAACAGACACGTCAGCAATCAGTCAGCGTCGACGCTGCACTGGGTGGCGCTCGGACGGGCGATCGTGTTTCTTGGCACCACGCGGAAAATGCGCAGACTGCACCGTGACCAATGCATGCCAACTCGATTCTTGTGTAAGGGTGAAGAACACCATACGCTAACGAATTCCCTCCTTGCCTCGTCTCCCGCGGACATTGTTTCGAGCAACCAGCCGTGGAGCGCGTGGGCACTGCGACGTCGCTGAGACGGCCAGCGACGAGGTCGTGTCCGGAGATGCTTGCGACGTGTAGAAGATCACCGAGAGCATATGCACGTGGCGCCGTGGTTTCCCGGCGGCTCTCAACTTCGACGACCGCAAGGCCGTGAAACACTCGTTACAAAAAAACGCACGAAATCCTGTGCGTGCTTATGTCGCGCTCTGCTGGTTCTTTGCACACCCGCAGGAGCCAGTGGATTCGACCTCCTCTTTCAGTGGCGTGCGCAGGACGCCGCGCGAAGCGTTCGTTGGGCGATTCGATCGCTGTGATGCAGTCGTTCCGTCTGCTTGACGAGTTCTGGAACTGGGCGCGGGGTGGCAGCCCATCGCTATCATTGTCGTGGGCTCGACGGACTTCGGTTCTGGACAGGAACTTGCTTATAAATCGAAGTTCGTACTTTTTCATCACTTGCATTTTGTATGGTAGAGGTTACTGCAGGTGTGCATTAAAATTGGGTCGGATTCTATTGTCCGAATTTCAACCCGTTTCACTTGTCCATTGTATGTAATAGAATCGAAAAGGTTTAATCGGTTCGACGACATTTTAAAATGCGTGGCGTACTTGTCGCTGTGCATGGCATCACATTTTCTTTGCGCCCGTGCCCAAGAACGCTGCGTGAGCTATCGGTTCGCGCCGCCACTGCCCATGTGCCGCCCTTTTGAGATTGAATCTAGGCTCAATGTGAGCCACCTGCTTCCTGGCTTTAACGTGCCCCCGCAGCAACAGCAGCAACAAGCCATGTACGCCATGGCGAAGCCAGCTGCCCCGTTCATGCTGTCGTCGTTTAAAGCGCCCCAATTCGACGTGATGCCCACCAACAACAACTTTGACTCGTTCGAAGACCTCCTCGACTGCTCCATCCTCGACGACGACTCGGACCTGCACCTGAACGTCGGTGACGAAGACTTTGACCCGACCGAACTCGCTATCTTGTCCAAGTACGTTGAAGTCATTCCTCTCGACGATGCCGACAACCACAATGTCAAGACCGAGATCTCCGTGATGGACCAACAACCCGGCATGGTCACGTTGAACCTCTTGGACGATATGAGCTTGGACTTAAACATGCTCTCGGATGAGGACATGATGCTCACAAACATGCAGCTGAAGGCCCCTCTCGATATGACTGCTACCCCGATGGTAATGAACGACACCTGGCCGAACCAAGGATCGTCATGCACATCGGACGACCGCCACCATGACGAACACGACGTGTCGGCCCCCTTCAAGAGCCGCCGATTCTGTTCCGTCGACGGCTGCGACAAGCGCTCCCGGTCGCATGGCTTGTGCATCGCCCACGGTGGTGGACGCCGCTGCGCTGTTGAAGGCTGCGGCAAGTCCAGCCAAGGAGGCAACTTGTGCATCAAGCACGGCGGTGGCAAGCGCTGCCAAGTCGAGAACTGTGACAAAGCCGCCCAATCTAACCTGCTCTGCAAGATGCACGGCGGCGGTCCCCGCTGCCTCTTTGCCAACTGCCACCGCAGCTCCCAAGGCGGTGGATTCTGTCGCACCCACGGCGGTGGAAAGCGTTGTCTGTTCGAAGGATGCGACAAGGGCACTCAACGCGGTGACTTTTGCGCCCTTCACGGCGGTTCCCGACTCTGCGGTGTGTCTGGTTGCATGCGCAACGACCGTGGCGGTGGATTCTGTGCCACCCACGGCGGCGGCAAGCGCTGCTCGCAAGAAGGGTGCCAGAAGCCGTGCCGCCGCCAAGGCATGTGCTCCACCCACCTCCGCTTGTCCGGCTCGGCCTAAGCGGTGGCTTCCTCACCGAGCGAGCGCGTGGGGGTCGTATGCATCACGGACGACGTGGACGGAAGTGTGCGCTGCCCTCAATACTGCGGGAGCTCCCCACTTGTTTGCGTCCTCTCGTTGTAAAGCATCCGTCAAACATGCATTTTTGTGTTGCGTTTCGATGGCCGGTGGAAGGTTCACGATGGGGCGATAAAATATTTTATTTCGGTACAGTTTTGATGAAATGGTTGGAATCTTTGAAAAATTCATCGCATGGGAAATATACACATTTTATCCGACGGCATGCGAAAAATCCAAACCCTGCCGTGTCGCCCGCCGGTGGCGCGGCCAGTCCCTTGCAGTAAGAAGTCCAACGTTCCTGCTGACGTCGTCGTGGCATGCATGGATTGAATTATGCGCTTGCGCCTTGCGTCGCGTGCTCTCATTTGGTGCAGAATCGATCCGAATCAACTCGGGTTGCGAATGTTGCTTGCCCTGGACGGATGCAACCATAGCTGTTGAATCACTCGAGCTGAACTGCTGGCGGCCAGGCATGCAAACGAGTTCTCGATATCTAGAGTGATGCACGCCTGCCACGACAGGACTTGAATTGCGTGGATGTCAATACTGGGTCCATCGGGTGCCCGTGTGGCGCTTGTCGGCTCAACATGGCGGCGGAGAAGAACCGCTTCGCATTCTTGAATAATTGATTCGGAAGGATGGTATACAAATTACCATATAATACAATAGAACCGTTTTAAAAGTTTACGGCGACAAATACGTCAACTCTTGTCCTGATCGGTCACATGCTTCGGAACGGTGGCACACTCGGCAAATGGCGCAACCGCCGAAACGAAATGGCGTCGGGGCCGCCTTCGCCGCGCTTGGAATTGTCGTGGCGGCCATGTATCTGGGACAAGAGCCGTCGCCATACGACCGTACGACATCGAAGCATTTTCCCACCCACGGCCATGCGACGACCGCGCCATCGACACTGTGGCAACCCAATGCGTCGTACGCGTTTGGCCGTTGGACGCAGCCCATCCGCGACATTCGCTTTCACTACGAGCATGGACAGCATGCTGCCCCATCCCAATCTGCGTCAGATGCGATTGTCAAGTGGGGAGCAGCGCAACTCGCCCGGCTCCAAACGAAGCGATGGCACTACACAAACATCAACACCCGGGACCACTTCATCGCGGTCGCAGTCGTCTCGTTGCAGTATCTGTCCACAATCTTTGTGTACGTGGTGGAGAAAGCGACGATGGACAAGTGGGAGTATGGACGCATGGCACCGGGATCGTATGGAGTCACGTTTGCCGCCAACTCGGTGGATCCTTCGACGTGCACGTCAGTCACGTCTGCCCACTTGTCCATGTGCTACCAGGACGACGCGTGGCGACTGTCAGCGACATCGATTCCATTGAAGTCGGAAAAGTCGTCCACCGTCCGCCTGTTCTCGTTCAACTTGACCATGGTTCCAGGCGAACCTTTAATTCTGTCGTTCCCGCTCGCAAATGACCCCATGCGCCCTGCGTTTGTGCATAAAGGGGCGGGGTACGCAGTGCATGGAACGTATGTGTTTGGGTCCACAGGGGTATCCATCGCAACGGATGACGCCGCGTTGGGAACTATCGACTGGACCAAGAGCCTGGCCCTGCATCGCACCGAGTGGAATTGGGTCTCGTCAACGTTTGCGGCCAAGGATGGGACGGTGGTGGGGATTAATTTGAGTGGCCGCGTGTACGATGTCGACGGCGCGTCGCAAGAGAACGCAGTGTGGATCGACGGCCAAGTGTGCGTTCTGGGCGCTGTCACGTTCGACATTCCGCGCGCGGATGCCCAAACTCAAACATGGAGGATTCGTTCGTCAGCTGCCGTGGAAGGAGACCTTGTCGACCTGACATTCGTTCCCGGTGGCGCGCGACGAGAGCATTTGAACGTACTCAATCTTATGCGAAGTGAATTCGTCCAGCCATACGGCCGCTTCACAGGCACGATCGAGTGTACTGGGCTCGATCGTGTCACACGCCGAGTCGATGTCGACGACGCGTTTGGGGTCGTGGAAGATCACGTTGCCGTCTGGTGAGGTTTTCGGACTAACTTAGTGCCAGAAAAAGATATCGAATCCAGTCCAAATTTCAAAATAGTTCGGCTTTTAGGAGGAAAAGGAGTGCAAAAATGGAGTTTGTATTGCAGCTTTCGATTGCTGGGTTTATATTGCAAACCAACCGAACCAACCGAGAATTTTTGAAAAATGCCAACTTTTGACCGCATTTACTGTATGCCTCCTGACACTGTGATATTTCGACCAAAATTGCAACTTTTATAATTTGTCGTATTGGCTTAACTGTGAATACGGAAGCCACATGAGCAAAACATGTTATCATGATAATCTGTCAAGAATATCCTGAATATTGTAATATATACGACTGCAAGCTGCATATTTTGTCAAAAATTGAGGTTTGAGTGACCAACCCGTCGGGTATTCTATGGAACTCCATAACTTTGCCAATTCATATCGAATGTACTTCAGTTTAAAAAAGTGCAGATGTCGCAGGATCACGTACGTGCATCCAGACGGGCCTACTAGCAAAATCTCATGAGGTCAATGGACGTGTATCTCCGCGGCAACATGTCAATATTGCATTCAGAACAGCGAGTTTCAGAAGTGACGTCTTGTGCATCCAGAGCGCGTTACCAGCATCAAGTTTCTCGAGTTTTCTTGGCTTTCAAATGGCACGATGTACAAGCAAAAAAGCAGACAGTAAGTGTAAAAGGTCTTGCAACGTCCCTGTATAGTGAAACCAGCAGATTGCACACACGTTTTGAAGTTTGGGTAATATTTGCAGGTAGGTTGGAATATTACAATTTAAACCGGATATTCGTTTTTAGGGTGAACGCGGCGAAAAATTCCTATGTACCCTCCTCCATAGCGTGGACAGCTGCAAGGACGTCCTTCCGTCAATACCGACCGCAGCGTCGGGGTAGTGCCATGTTTGGCAGCAAAACAAGGAGGAGCTACGGTGACCAGTGTATTACGTTATGCAGGTTTAGACGGTATGGCATGTTGGATGTTGATTGGCTGACATGTTTGGTTTTTATTGCTTTAATTGGGAATCGGCGAAAGACACTCGTCAAAAATGTCGATTCTACACAATCTCGGGAAATTGGGCATTTCTCCACCTTGCCACGACATGTTTTCCAACACGATCAAAATGGGCAGCTTGGTTGTCCGCCACAACGCCAGACGGTCATGAAATTTTGCCCACGGCATGCAGCGACTGTCGCAGGGATGCCACAAAGCTGGCTATAATGCGGCAACCCGTCCCATGGCGTGCAAATTCCCTTCAATATTTTTAGCCCACTTTGGTTTGCATACAAATATCAAGTTGATACATGCTTGAAAGTCGGGCAAGTTAAATTTCACATCATTTTTCATCCGAACATGTCACGGCCGCGACCTAACGCGAAACACCGGATACATCCGGATACAAGGTTATTTCGCGTTTCAAGACCGTCAATCAATCCGATGTACCTTTTCACCATGTCACAAATTTGGCGGTCGTAGTTTGACTTGGTTTCTGTATACGACATGCATTTGGATCCTGGCATGCTGGACAGCATCACTTTCGAATTGACCAAGCGCCGCGATGGCGACACGTCCACCTCGATCGCCGGGGTCGTCCGGCACGGCCGAGTCCACCCTCGACGACAACGTCTCGGGTAACTACCGCCCGCTCATGGAAGACCAACGCCGTAGCAGCTTCTCGTATAGCCATCAGTTTCCGTCCAACTCGGCGCGAGGGAGTAATACACCCAACCCATTCGCCCGCGGGTCCATCATTGACCGCGAGATCCCCGCCGTTCCAGAGGACATGGCAGCAGCGCTGTCCAAACACTCGAAACAGACATACAACGGCAAGATTAAGGTCCCATGACATGTGGTCCACATGCAGATTGCACTCATCTCTTTGAATAGAGATGGCCGGGCATCGTTCTCCTCCTCCTCGTTGTTGGAGGAGCCATTGCTGCCATTGCTGTGTACTCGCTCCAGTCGCACGACGCGGCGACGAAACGCCGCCAGGACGTTCAGCGCGCGATCGCAGACCGTGTTCGCATTTCCGATGGTTTGGATGTATTGTCCAACGACGACGACGTGAGCGACGACGGCGCGGTGAACAATCCCAAGGTGTACACGCCGATAGGGTGCGAGCTGCCCAACTACGTGAGCAAGAAGGGCAAGATCTGGGCCGTGTCCAAGAACGGGACGGAGGTGCCGATCGGTATCAAGGGGGTCAACTGGTTTGGGATGGAGACCGGGTTGCAGGCACCATTTGGGCTGTGGGACAACGAGCGCAACGGCACAACGGTGGTACGTTCCGCGCCGCCGCCGCCATCGTCATCTCACGGATGCCGTAGTATGCGGTCGCCGATTTCCTGTCCAAGAACAAGTTTAACAGCGTCCGTCTGCCGCTGTGCGTGCAAAACATTTTGGAAAACAAACCGCTGGAAGCCGCTATTATCAACAAGCAGTCGAACCGCGCGCTCGACACGAGCTCGTACATCAGCTTGATCCAAACGCTCGTGAAGGGCCTCGGGTTTCGCCGCATCTCGGTCATGATCTCGATGCACACGTTGGACCGGCTGAACGTAGGCGGGTCGCTGTGGTACGGCACGACGGTGACGGAAGACGAGTTTATGCAGTCGATCGACATGTTGACCAACGCGCTGTGCAGCAACGAGTACTGGAACGTTCTCGGAATCGATGTCAAGAACGAGCCGTGGGAGGGGACGTGGGGCACGGGTCTCCGCAACGATTTCAAGGTCGGCGCGGAGAAGATCGCGGCGCGCATGCTCAAAGGGTGCCCCCAGTGGATGGCGTTTGTGGAAGGTGTGAACGCGCAGCACGAAATTGTCCTTGATGGCCAACCATATGCATACTACGACTGGTTTGGCGGTGGCCTCCACAAAGCCAAGCAATTTCCACCTCAACTAGACCTGCCCGACAAGTTGGTGTACGCGCCGCACTACTACACGCCCGCCGTGTTCCCGCAGTACTACCTCTTTGGCGGCGGCACCGTCGGCCAAGGCAATGCCATCATCAACTACGTCGAACTCTCGAACGCGACGTTGTTGAGCCGCGTCAAAGCGACCATGACCGACATGTTTGGGTTCTTGAACGAGGCAAAGGGCCCGGCCGTCGTGCTCGGGGAGTTTGCCGGGCTCTACACGAAGGACGCGCATCCGCGCAAGACAACGCAGCGATGCACGGACTTTACCATCAAAACCATGCTCGAAGACGGGTATGCAGGCGGGTACATGTGGAGCCTCAACCCCGAGAGCGCGTACCAGTACAACCCGGCCGACAAGGTGGGCCACTTCACGGAAGGGCTCCTCGAGGACGACTGGAGGCGAGCAAATGAGCCCTTCCTCAAAGCGATGTCGGCGCTGGACGCCCTGCCCGATCTCAAACCCACGCCATGCTTTCCCACGTCGAGTGGCACGAATTAGGGTATATATGATATATTCAATCCTACGTTTTAGGGTTTTCTGTTGGGTTTTTATTCAATAACGTGCCATTCCAACTCGATGGGGGGGCACGACCGGATGGCGACGCTCCACTGCAATTCGCACACGCCCTGTGGACATGCACGACAGTTCAACGATCGCAGCGACATTGAGGTACGCATCGCCGCCTCGTTTTGGTCGTTTGGACCATTTCACGTCGTGGTAAAACAGGCGTGGTCGATTCGATCCCAACTACGATGACTTCTACTTCTGTGAAACGTAATAAAACCATGTGTCCACCAATGCAGTTTTATTCAAAACCAAACCACATTCTACAAGGAAAAAACGGTTGAACCACGTCATGAGCGCCCACCCCGACGACGTTGCCACAACATCTTGACTTCGTTGGCTACCAGCGGCCCGAGGCACACGCACGAAAGCGCGCCGCTCACTTGCAGCAGCATGAAGACTGGCCCCCACGTGCACTCGGTGTGGTCATCCACGGGGTGGCAGTTGGACAGGTACCCCACGAGGAACTGCACGATCGCCGCGCCGACGCTGCCCGTGCCGTCGATGATTCCAGTCACCGTCGACAGCGCCATGGTATCTTGACGAAGGCTGTCGTGCGTGCCGAGGTCGGCCGAAATGGCGGTACTGATCAAGTTGGCTGGTCCGCCAAGCAGAAACCCCGTCGCGACGAGCAGCACACTCGTTTGCGCGTGCGACGCCCCTTGGAACAAATGCAACAAGCCCCTGCATATTCACGGCGCCTTGGTGAGACGCTCGAACGAACGAGCTCGTACGTGGCCGTGAAAATCATGACAGCAACTATCGGCGACCGAATGCCGGCTTTGTCCGTGACGTAGCCGCCCAAAAAGCCGCCCGTCATTTGCCCCGCATCGTACAGCATCTGCACATCAACGAAGTTAGGAATTGCAAGCAGGACCATCCCACACGATCCATGCACACGTCGCCGTCGTCGGCTGTGGTTTGGTTGGCGCCACTCGAACACAGGCGCGTCATGGTACGTACCGAGTACAGATCTGCCTTGGCATCGTCCATGCCCAGCGTCAACGTCAGGTAGAACGGAAGCCAGAAGAAGAGCGCGTAGTTGAGCGACTTCAAGCACGCATACGCCAGGGCGTACAACAGGACCTGCATGCCCCAAGTCAGCCATGGCAGTGAGATGATTGCATGGAATGTCGCGGCACCCCTGGGATCCGCCACGCCCGCCAAAACGAGATGCCTTGCTTTCGACTGGCACGACTGTCGGAAGATGCCGCTGTCGATACGTCGTCCGACGAAGTGCGCGACGCCAGGAGCGCCTCCTCCACATCGTCCGATCCGAATTTCGGTGGCGATGGCTTCAGAAATGCATACACTAGCCATCCTTGAAGAGCAATGAGCCCCCCGGCAACCAGAACGGCGCTCTTCCACGCCACGGACTTGGACGGCACCGCCACGTACAGCAGCGCGACCACGGCCGTCCCAACGATGTTCCCGAACGACGCGTTTGCGCTCCAAACTCCCATGACAGCTACAAGTCGGCGCATTAGCCGATGTTCGCCGCGTCCTGAAGGTCTTGATCGGCAGAGTCGGCGGCGCAATCCCGCCTCCAACCGTCACATGAATATGAAAAACAGGTAAAAGTCTCATGAAACTCGCTGCCTTCCCGGATGCATGGAGCGCAGATGCAAGCAACGCTTGTATGCATCATTTTTGTGAGCAAAAATGGCTCAGCAACGAGGAGCACCACAAAGCAATGACGACATCAACAATCAATACACCATCCCAAACACCCCACCAACGCACGAATGTCGAGACAATCAAGAGAGACATTACCGCCTCGCTCTTGCTTGTTGAACCAGTTGCCCCTATGCAGATAGACGCAGTAAAACAAGTGGATGCGCCACGGGCAGGTCGTACATGACTGCAACGTTGACGGGCCATCCGATGGACTGCACGAGACCGTTCAGGGCCCAGAGGGATGCATATAGCCCCAGCGATCGTAT